GTATACCTCCTTGACAAATGTAACTTTTCAGAAGTGGCTCTTAAATTTAAAGCTCGATCAAACTCGCTTGATTTAGAAGGTCGCAAAGAAGCCTGGTCAACTATAAACACAGGTCTTTGCAAATTATGTAAAAGTGGTTGTAAAGAAACAGTAGATCACTTTGTTTTTGAATGATGTACATTTAACAATATTAGAGATACAATTTTCCAGGAACTTAAAAAGGAACTTAATGAATACAACTTGATATATTTTGGGATATGTTTACTTCAAGTTTAGCAAATTTTAGACACCATCTTTTCTTTGATGACCTGTCTATCCATAATGAATTTCCTCTTAAATACAATTTGGTTGATTCTGATTACAATGATGCAAGTTTTATCTTAGACAAATATTGTAAAAAATACCTTTATATTGCTTGGATGAAACGCAATGAGCTGTACAAGAACCTGTAATATTATACTGAATTTGACTTTGATTCTGCCCTGGTCCGTAGAAAAAGAAAATTAATAAATAAATAAAATAAATACATAATCCGGTAACTTCACATGACTTCTAAGTACAGGTTGTTGTGCAGCTCAGTGTGTTTCATTCAGTTTCCTTACTATATTTTAGTAAGATTTTTTTTTTAGATATACTAATAAGGGTAAAACTTTACTGTAAATTGCTTGGTTTTGTTTTTGTTATGCTATTTATCCTTTTGTTGTTTTTGAACTGTCTTTTGCTTTCCTTTCCTTATATTTTATACTGTTAATGGGTGCACCATCTAAGTGATGGGTGCCATTGATCTAAAAGTGAACCCAATAAATCGTATCGTATCGTATTCTAGCTCCTCCATGCGCAATATACTGTGCTATTGTTAACATATTAGGTGTTAATCATGTTACTGTGTAATCCTAATTCATGTTACCTACATTTGGTTTTCTATCATATGTATATTTTTTTTGTTCACTTGATCTTAAAAATGCGTCCATGGTGGACTGTATTCTGTTTGAAGTATTATTTTTGGACGCACCTTATCATGTGAAGTGTGCCACTGTTTCAAAAGTGTAGTTTCCGAATAAATTATTATTATTATTATTATTATAATTATTATTATTATTATTATTATTACGAGCTTTACGGGATTATTACGAGCGTAACGAGTTTTTACCGAATTAGATACGAGTTAAGTACGAGCATCCCGATCAAATGTTCCTGGTGATCGTAACCAACTCTGTGCGCTCGTACTTAACTTGTAATCGTTTCGGGGTGCTCGCACCAAACTCGTGGATTACAAAACGAGTATCCCGCCAACGAGTATCCCGAGTAATGTACGAGTTAGGTTGGAGTACCCTGAGTACTCATACGAGTTACCTACGAGTCCTTCGCGTTTACTACGAGTAGTCAACTCGTAGCATTAATTTTGAACATGTTCAAAATTAAGCCACGAGTTCAGAGCTACTACGAGTAGGTACGAATTATCCCCGATCTTCTCGAATCGTCCTACGAGTTTATGCCGAGTTAGCCACTCGGCAAACTCTTCTACTTCGTATGCTGAAAAAAACCCTAGTGCCGAGTCAACCACTTGTCCATCTCTCTATCCATTAGTCATTTATCCATCATCCAGTCACCTATCAACCCACCCTACTATCCATCCATACATTCATCATTTATTCGTTTAATCATTTGCTCTTTTCGGAATCTAACGAATCTCGTCAGCATAAAAGTTAAAAAGCGATAATACATCGAATATTAAATTGATTATAAATGAAATTATCACTTACCAATTATCTTTACGATTAAAATATATAATCCATGAAATATGAAAATAAACACCTTACATTAGTCAACTGAATTGAATCCATTCAATATTTATGAATCTTCAAATCAACTGAACATGTAATTATACAAGTACAGTAATAATATAACTGTACCAACATATAGTATATAATATAATAATGTATATATTATGATATAATATACCGGTAATAGAACATGTAATAATACAACTAAACATAACATATTTTTAAAACTAGGAGGTGCTATACCTTACTACCATTAAATATTAAACATCAATATAAAATCCTAACTAATCCTCCTAATCCACACAAAACCTACAATTATTAAAACTTCGCATGTTTTTTAATACTTTGTCTATTGGAATATGCAATTATCTCGAGAAATATGGTTTCTTAGTAGGCTAATTATATTATATCATCCATCAATAAGTAATGCTATGGTGATACAATACACAAAGTCAGACAACAGTCCGGTCTCGTCTGATGATCAGTCACAGTAGACAGTTCGCACAAAGGTCATGGACAGGTTTCCGGGGTTTTAGCCAATTAAAATGGCATTGGCTGCTAGAACCATGGAGGAATAAAATAACAGTAAATTTATCTACGTTTTTTTTTTATCTCGTATTTTGTTTAAATTAGGCCTGTAATGTATTTTTAGTCTCTTCTTTATCTGTGGTCTAATTGATGTTGTATGTTTTTCTTTTATAAATTGTAAATTAAGTGAACGCACCGTTATTTTGATGTGTGCCCTGATCAATTCTGAAAAAGAATATCTCAAGGCTTAAATTTCTCTATAGATTGTAATTCTATTATTTTATCGATGGTAGTCATTGTATTTTACTTGTATATTGTTATATTTTCTATAGTGACTGTTTGTATGTTTTTATATTTGTTTTACATTTTTTAATATAATACTGTATGTGATGACGAGCAGAAGAATTTCCCTTGTGGAACAATAAAGTTATCTTATCTTATCTTAGATTTTCATTCACGAAAAATTCTAAGTTCTGCCCTAATTCTTGTCACATCGATTATGCATGTTCCTCCTGGTATTCAACAAAATTGCCCAAAACTACCCAAGCTTCCAAAAAAAAAGCATTGAAATTTTAAAAATGTGATTTTCGCATGTATGTTTCCCTTTTAGTTTAATCTATAAACCCTTTTTTATTGTAATTGTTTGTGTTAATTATTAAAATTTATATTCATGAGGTGATAATACAGATAGAAAATACGCCCTCAGTCGGCCAGTAGTGTTATCAGTAGATCAGTGACCAAATTTTATTATGTAATGCATTAATTAGTAGGAACAATGACAACGCAAATCACGAATAAACAATTCCCATGTTTATAGCAATTAACAGTCAATTAACAATGTTATGTGAACTTCGTAGAGTTTTGCTTACTTAAATGGACTGAAGCATTCTTTGTTACTTCTTAATTCTTCCTCTATGTCATAGACTGACAAAAATATTTAAGGTTACCCAAGGATTTGAACGTAATATTCAAGAACCCAAGCAAGACCAATTCAAAATACCCAAGATTTTGGGTAAATACCGCAGCAGTGGTCACGTTGCTGCACGCTATACTTTAATGTTAGGCCCAGTGCAGTATCACGGATAGGCCTATGTGAATTATGCATGCTCCTTGCTGTCAACCAATAATATTGTAGCTTCGTTAGACCATAGAGACCATTCTATTTTCTCTATGGCTAGACGCTTCCCTCGTTCAGAAAAATATCTGGCCTGCAACAATAATCAAATGTTTTACGGAGCTGTCTCCTTCACTGAAAGTGGTAACTGGAAACATGGAGGACATTTTTTTATACCTCATTGATGGAAACGACCTACAGTATCTCTACTAATACAATCCAATTCACACTACCAAGTTAATTGAGGAAGGTCAACCGTAAACCCGTATCCGTTATGAGCCTAAAAATCATTTATCACCAGCAAACCAAATCCTCTAAAATAAACAATTGGAAAAAAAAAAACAAAAAAACGAAAAATATATATATTATATAAGTCTGAGAGTGTCATTTCTGGCCATAATACAAGTTTATTTGTTGTATGTTGTATGGAAATTTGTTCCTAAATAAAGTACTAAATGAATGAATGAACAATCATATTTTTTTTTACCTCAGCCCGACCATGATGGTGGGACTGAGGTGATATAAACCCTCCATCTGTATCTATTTCGAAATCCTGGATCTGCCACTGACAACAACAACAAATACTACTACTACTATTACTACTAATTACTACTACTACTACTACCACTACTACTACTACTACTACTACTACTACTACTACTACTACTACTACTACTACTACAGTGTTACTTACTACAACTACTTACTACAACTACTTACTACTACTACTACAAAAACGTACAGGAATAAAATCAAAAATAACATAATAATAATAATAACAATAATAACAACTTACTTACAAAACTACTAAGACATTACACTTTTTTTATAAGAACACTGAGGCTGAGATGGCTCAAAATAAGAACAAAATAAGGTAAGGTAAAACTGCGGTAAAATGTGAAATAAGTTTTATTTTTTTAAATAGAAAAAACCAACAAATCAAGCTGTCATATACAGTAGCAGCATTGGGTTTGACGTATACCATATAATAATACAGTACACTAATAAACAGCTGTACAATAATTTTCTATCTTTGTTTTGAAAAAAGTATGTAATTTGTAAATTAAGAACATTATGAGCCTGAAATAGGCAAAAAAATAAGAACACTGAGCCTCGGCAAAATTTTACTAGTTCTTATAAAAAAAAAGTGTATATATTTGTTTAAACAAAAAGTAGCACGGATCAAGTATCCGTTCGGCCAATAACATGACGCGATCCTAGGGCGTGGCACGCATAATATATTTTTATATGAACTGAATATTTAAATACTGAAATTATTTTTTGCCTTGAATTTACATTCCATGATTTTCAGATAGTTAAGTACTCTGCCGATTATGTTTAAATTAGATTACATTAAAAAATAAGAAGTTAAAATATTAGTAGAACAATGGCTCTAATTAATAGAAAGCGTATCATGTATCCTTGGAATTTGCAAGATCAGAATGAGAGTAACGAAAGAAGACTTTAAAACTCCATCACTCATAATAATTTATTTATTGAGTTTGTTCTATTAACAACCCGTACATATAAACCTAATAAAACGAATTGCTAAATAAATTAAAGTTTAGACTTACGACTAGCGGGGTAAAATTTCCTTGCTGCCGAACGATCGTATGCGAAGAAGCAAAATGATGATGAAGCGGGAATTGGCAGAGCGATTGAAAACGAGAGGAAGCAGGTACTGTATGCTAATTGCAGAATGACGTTGAACCAAGCCAACCAATAGCAATATTCGAGAAAGATATAGAAATGTCAGTCGGGTGTAGAATATCTTGCATATTTTGTCGCCGCCACTGAGTATTGGTATAGGCTATGCTTGTAGCATTTGACATAAGCATAGCCTCTCGATAATGCTACGCCTCAGCGGAAGCATAGACACTGCGTTCAACGACAATGAGAGATAGTTCTAAAAATGAATAGATGAAAGTGCATTAGCGCCTGAGTAGATATAGGCCTGTGAGGAGAAATACACTTTTTAAAATAGGAACCATTAAAATTTTGCCCAGATCAGTGTTCTTATTTTTTTGCCAATTTCAAGCTCAAATGACATTCGGCATTGTACATTGCTTGTAATTTATTTAATTTAATCAAAATTAAGGAACGTAACTGCACAAACTCCAATTTATATTTAGTAGGGAATTTTTAATTGACATTTATCACATTTATAAAAGATTCTATGTTATGTACAAAAAATATCTCAGAATTTATTTGTTGACAATAAAGTTGACTTGTATCTTGCATCTTGTAAAATGTTCTTATGTTGTCTTAATGATAGAAAATTATTTCTTTCAGCAGTATTCATTCATTCTTTACTATTCAGCCAAACAAATGTACAATACAATTTACACAATGCAGTATAAACAACAGAAATAACAAACAAATTGTATATTAGTGCACAGTATTATTTATAAAGGGTATACTGTAATCCAAACATCTCCCTTATCACACCTACGTATATAAGGTACAGAATAACAAATATTACGACCAAGAATTTTACGGTCTGTATGGTATGTGACTAGCTTGTTTTGGTGGGGCTTTTATTGTTTTGTTTTTTTTGTTTTGTTTTTTTTATAGTTTTTTAAAATAAAAATCTCATTTGACATTTTAAGTCAACCTCAATTTGTTCTTATTTTGTTCATATTTTTGAAGCAATTTCAGCATCTGTTTTCTTATTTACAAAATGTATGTTACTGCCTAAAAAAAATGTTTTCTAACAAGTATCCTACATTTTCACGAAAACGATGTGTGACAGGCCATCTGGGATCCAGGGGTGAAACATTCGGCTGAGATGTTTTTGAACCCCCCCCCCCCCATCCACTCTAAAAAAAAAAAGAATCGTGGTCGACGGAAAGTATGTGTAATAATAATAATAATAATAATAATAATAATAATAATAATAATAATAATAATAATAATAATAATAAGGTTTATAAAGCGCGCAAATCCACTGCAGTATTGCTCAAGGTGTGTGCGTGTGTGGCCGGTACTTATATTGAAAAAAGGCCACACAATTTGTAACAAAAAGCGGCCCAATACACGACACAAAACATATAAGCGCTTTAACAACCCACCTTTAAAAACCACCTAACGCCACCCACCCTTTAAAAAACCACCTAACGCCAAAATTGAACACCATCTGAGCATAGCAGTTTATCGTCCCCGATTAATCATGAGGAAAGATTATTAAGCCAAACCATTATTGCAAATGAGATTGCGAACGACAGAGCTCCGTAATACTACACCAATTATTGTAGTGAACAGTACATACATGTATGCTAGAGACACAAAACAGGAATACGTAAAATAAAAAAGATATTTGACAATTTGACATTGGTAATAAATAAATATAGAATGCAATATAATCGTGTGTAACCCAATAATCTACTGTACTTGTTAAACAACGATAGGCTTCGTCCAATTGAACAATATGGTGTCCGGGCCTACTGTCTAGACTATAATCACAATACGTGTATCATTGACAAAATTCAGCAAAGGCCGCTTAAGGTCATTACAACAATAACATTTATCTATATGGTGGGATGAGGATGAATCCATTAGATTCACCAGCACATCTCTAGCATCGAACAGAAATCTGTAACATCATATAGGTGTACGGTAAGAAATGGCCCAGGAAAAAATGGCCCTGGTAAACATGGCCCCAGTAAAAATGGCCCCAAATGACAAGTAGGTAAAAATGGCCCCAATGAAAAAATTCAGTAATAGAAATGATATTTTTTTTAAATCTTCAAATATTTAAATACTGTAATAAGCAAGAATTGAATCAATAACAAATACAGTTACACAGCAGATGCAAATAATGTACTGAGAGATTATCAGAAAACAAGGGCCATTGAACATTTTTTGATAGTTGAAATAAGTTTTAAAAACGTTATTCCACTAACAAAGTAGAGGAATGACATAGAGTGCTTCAACTACCAAAATATGCAACTCATAGATAACTACAAAATTCACTTTTGTTTAGTATCAAATGAAATAACTACATGTTATAAACAGTGCAAATAAACAGTAGTTAAAGCATGTCGATCAATTGTTTTGAATGACAAGTTCATGTATGGGAAAATGGAGGCTTACTTTACTTCAACAAATGTTCTGCTTAGAGTTACTTCAAAGAAGTATTTGTTAATCAAATATAAGTAAACTGAATAATTATAAGGAATAGTAAATTTAAGTGCCTAAAACTATACTATATAATGTAAACTGAGATACTATATTATATACATAGTTATGTAAATATGGCAATTATGCTAAGAATTAAAATGGCGTGTAATTGTGAGGGTAAAGTAATTATGGTAGGATAAAATTGTACAGTATTGCTAAATCCCAAAAACCTCCTAAACCACACTGTAGAAAACCAAACAATTCAATTGTGATTGACTCACTTGGTATATCAATAAGAAAGTTAAATATTTATAAGAACCTATTTTTTGGTTAAAATGTTTTTTTTTTGTTTTTTTTTGTGAAAAAATACTTGCAAATACACCACAATCCTCCAAACACACTGCGAACCCCATCAAAACCCTTTAATTACGATTGTAGAACTCTCTTTTTCTAAAAAAAAAAAAAAGAAAAATAATAATTTGATGCTCATATAAACTCATTGTTTGTGGGGTTTACCAATACCCGGATTGAATTTCTGGAAAATTATAATTCCGCTTCCTTGAAATTGGCCACAAATAAATTATTTTAGTATTAATAAATGCATGATTTATGTTGATTTATTGATTTTGTTGTTGCTAATTTTTTACATTTAAATGGAAAAAAAATAAAAAAGTGTTATTCATGGCTTTTTTTTTTATCTTTTAATATTTTATCATTGAATATGTAATTTCTGCAAAAAGTAAAATGTAAATGGCAATTTATATGATGTTAGATTCCTTTTAAAAACTAAATTATTTCAGTTTAAAAAAATGCATACGATGATTTAAAAAAAAATCATTTTTAATACAGAATTTTATTATTTGGGCTATTTTTACCTACCTTTCATTTAGGGCCATTTTTACCAGGGCCATTTTTACCGTGGCCGTTTTTTCCGGGGCCATTTTTTCCGGGGCCATTTTTACCGTACACCTTACACGACTTACAAAAGGAGAGCGTTAAAGCAGGACTTGATGATAAATTTCAGCAAAACAAATGTAATGACGATTACGTCTACCTTGGAAAGATCTGCTTGAAGAATGGAACAATTGAAGATGTAAATCGACGAACACACCTAGCCTCGGCTAAGTTCGACAAACTAAAGTACATCCTTAAAGACCAAGAGCTACCAATGTGTTTAAATTAAGCCTTTTAATTATTATGAGGATCACGGATAAAATAGTATTTTGATGATACGCTTATATTAACCATTGACGTATTATAGGGATATTCAAAGAGAATTACGGAGTATGGATTGGATACGTCAGTAACAGACATTAAACACTTTATGATATAGATTTTAGCTCAGGATTTCCCCTTTAACAAGAGGAGAGCTGATGAGAGCGTTATAAAAATGAGGGACGATAGCCACGGGTGATTGGCATAAGGTGGTAAATTGAGGAAGGCACAAAGTTTGTATACCATTTTTACTCTCATGCCTCCGGATCCGCCACTCTCTTAACTATTCAGACACACTGCACATAGAGATCCCACTACGTCATCTTGCAACTCATAGGCTAATACCTGGGCTTACTATGTCTGGTCATAAGAAAGAATTACTATGTCAGAACAATTTTTATACCTCCTTGGTCAGAACATTCATTATTAAATGTAACGGGTATAAAATAAAACTACAACATACAGAGTCAGTGTATGCCAGAAAGTACAGATGGTTAATAATTCGATCACCAACTCAAGACTCTTTGGATTATACAAACACGGCAATTAAAATGAAAAGTTATCTTATTACAAGAATTGGTTGACCATGAATGGGCTAAAGGGATTAAATCTAGAAGAAGGTGTGAAAAGGATTGACCACAGGGGTGGATGGGGTGCAGGAAATAGTATAGTAAGGTATATTAATTAAAGCTAGAATATTATATAAGAAGAATATTATTAAAGAAGGTATTTTTAATCATTGCATATCAGATTTAGATTAATGTATTACATATCATATTTAGGTTAACTGTATTTGCTAAGTTTCTTAATGTTTCATGTTTCTTTTGTATTAAATATATTTTACATTTATATTTAAAAAAATATTAGAATATTATTTTACATTAAATATCCTTAACTGACCACCTATCTCAATTTTATATTTATAATGTATTTATTTTGTTAACGTATTTATTTTGTTACTTGATTGTTTTACAGTTAAAGACAGATTCCGGAGTAAATTTTTTTTCTTTTTTTTCCATATGTTGCATAACTGATTACTAAAAGCATATTTGACGGTTAATGAGATACAGATATTTGAATATTTAAAAACTGGGGGAAAGGGGGCGTAACCACCCTTTTCTCCACCATTCTGTATCTCATTTTTAATTTTTATTTCCATTAAGTAATTCATGTCCAGGGAATGGCTACTCTGATTAAACTGTTACACCTGTATAAGCATGGAGGAACTAAACTAATTCCTCCATCGGATACGCAAGGAGGTGGTACGTAAGGGAATTGTTCTCTCAATTCTTCCTAATCATACCCGGCTGTCTCTTATACACATCTAGATGTGTATAAGAGACAGGTTTTACTGTGAATGCACCATCGATGTGATGTGTGCCGCTGCTAAAAAAAGCGTTTTTAAAATAAGTATTATTATTATTATTATTATTATTCATTTATTAAAACAAGTAGTCGTTCAGTCTACTGACAACATAAATGTCAACGATACATTAACCTGCCTACTGTATACCCTTGCGACATACCAGCATTATTTCCAGCCAAGTTTTCCATTTCTATCTGTTACGTGTCAATAAATGTCAGAAACTTCAATATCATATTAACCATTCCCTGAATTTGAAACAATTGTTTGAAACAATCATCATTAATATTATTATTATCTTTATTATCACTATCATTCTAATCTCTATTAATATTATTAAATTATGTATTTTTATTCATTGTATAATTATCAATTGCTTTGGATATAATATAAGTGTAATGTACGGACGAAATATTTACAATATACAATATTGGCATATTCGATGTTTTCCATATGTATATATATTTAGCGATGATTTTGATATTTTATTTCATTTCATTACTGTACATTAGTTAGAATGATAATGTTTCATTTATTAGTGGTTTTTGCAGGCCTATTTTTATAAGGGCCTACAGACAGTAGTACTGTAGATCTTGGTTTGTTTTTACTTTGTGAACATACGTACGACTTTAGATCGGCGGCACACAAATTAAATGCAATACAATGAGTCACTTAATTAAAGTACACTTAATACTAATAAAACATAATTAGTAAGAACTATACAATAACTAAAATAAAACTGAGGAATTAGGTAATGAACTTAAAATTAAAAAATACAATAAAACAATACATTTGTGTACACATACACATAAAAGGTATACAATTCATGCTTGATTCAGTAATGCTCCCATCTACTCCACACAACCTCCCCCCCCCCTACCACACCTCCTTCTATTATACATTAAATGACGTTCCAGTGCATTGTAGTGAGATGATTGTAAATAATAATAATACTCTTTCACTCTTTGTTTGTATGTATGTTTCATCACTGTCCTTAAAGCTGGTATACAGTTCATTTGTAAAATCCAGCTATAATGTTTATGTACGTTTCCAATGTATCACACAATTAAAAGAAATTTAAATGAAGACGAATTCGTAGTGCGTCCGTTCTTGAATACGCCCAGCTGTGCCTCCGGAAGGGGTTAATAAATAAACTTGAAGGCCCAAAGAAAACTGTGTCACTCGGATCATGGCACATTCTCACTGCACAGATGTTCACTGAAATGAATTGGGATTCATGGAACAAAAAAACATAAAAGGAAATCAAGGCAATTTATAGCAGGGAATCATTTTAACTCCCTGGTTACACCAACATCCTAAGTTATGCAAAGTTACCGTACCCTTTAAATGTTGTTATCGTTATATGTCGTTGTCAAATAAATATTAATTATATTGAATTGAAAATACGGGTTTAGTAGATATCAACAACAACGGTGTATTTTATTAAGACGGCTTCCGTATCTAAGTCACAATCACATGGTAACAACGATTATTACCTTTAATCCTATTCTCATTATAAAAGAAATGAAGTCAGCAAGTCGTCTAACCCCCATCTTACAAAATTTTCCAGATGAATGAGTCACAAAGAGGTAACATAAATACAGACTTCTTGGCTCTTTAGGTGGTCAGAAAAGCAAGTCAGGAAGCTGCTACTGTACTGTAGATGACCCAAACTTATACCCAGATATTCATAAACCGTTTTATATTGTTTTTGTTTTGACTTTTTTTTTGGATGAGTAGAACGTTGGTGATTTTTCTTGTGCTGCATTATTATTATCCTTCATAAATCCTTCATTTAAACATTCAAAAGTTTTTAAATAATTTTAACATTTAAAGTAGTTTGATTAGGAGATACATAATTCCTTTATTTTGTTGAAATTGTCAAATTGGATGCTTCCCTTTGTGAGAGCCACGGATTTTCCAAATAAATTGGAAATTGATTCTATTTGAAGGTTATCCAGGCATCCGCTTTCCCGCTAGCACCCAGAAAAAGATATTAGAATCGCAGATGTCGCTGCATAGGAACCAGGTACGCGTCGGTACGGTACCAATGCGTACGTGGGACCGCCTACCAATCAGTATACTGCGTAGGCCTACTGCGGGTACCAGCTACATACCAGGCTTAAAATATTTGAGGAATCTGTTGAAGTGTGTGTTTACATGGTATAAATTGCAGTAGGCCTACAGAACATAATAATAAAAATTACTGAAGTTCCTGCATTCTTTACTATGTAATTTTATTGCAAAACAGATATATTATACGAATAGGCTTTATATAAAAATAAGACACTCAACACTCATATTAGTTTTTACACAAATAATATAACACTTGGTTAGTAGTAAGCCTACGCGTCAGTCTCATTTTAGTAATCTAAGGTATATCTATCAAAACGCATTGGCTCTATACTATGACTCCAGTGAGTTTTTGGATCATGTAAATGTTAATCCGCTATTCATAATGTTCGCTTTTCAGTGGCGGACCCAAGAATTCAAAATAGATTGGGCCCAAAGAGGGCTCACAAAGGCAATTATTTATAAGGTTAATATCAATAATTTTTAAACAAAGTTAACTAGACATAAGGATTAAATCAGTAAAAAAAACACAGACAGTACTTGACTATATAAAAAATTACTGAACGTGAGCTGTCGTCTACGCAGTGAACTACATCATGCTCAAAAATTGTATTTCTTAGAAGTACTGTGTGTTTTTGTTCTGATGTACCGGTAATAGTGTTACATAAGGCTATCTTACATAAGCGTTACTCATCGTAACAAATAGATTCGCTTTCATAAATAAACTTTAAGTTCACTAGCTAGTATAATATACGAAAAAGGTTCGCTAGTCATGAAGGGGAAATAAGTGGGAGGGGCTAGGAGGCCCCCCCCCCCCGAAATGGGTCCAGGGACTGACGCCCTCAGAATCTCATGAATTTTTTAATCTACAGTCATAATCAGTAATTATTACATAGGGGTTTTTTTGTCCTCGAGGGATTGTGGGCTCCCCATTCTTACATATGATTAGGAGACCCATTTTCTCATTATGATTAGCAAAACCTTTGTATCACATTGCTTTTTTATGACTAGACTGGTAGAGTGTATTCGAATGTTATCACTAGCGAACCTTAAGTTTGCCCCATTAACGTGGTTTTTCTAAAATAAGTCATCTTATATAGGCCTACAGCCAAAATTCATCCCTGAGTTCGCCATCCATACAATATAAGTAATTCAATTTCATTACAATTATAACGTGCGAATGAACACCTAATATTTCATGAAATTAGGCCTACTGCCCTTTCTACAACGATTGATGTTCAAATTTTTCACTGAGCTATAAACAAAGTATCATAAAAATGCTCATGAGTTTTGGTGGTGAGGAAATAAGGTGTTCAGGAAATAATAGGACTGCATCCTACAGACCTGGGAAAGACGACTTTTCCATCAAGCTATACGGCAGCTCCACTACAGGCCCCCGTTTGTCTGCCTTCCATTCAATCGCTATACTCACATTGTTTTCAGTGCAGTCGTAACACTGCGTACTGTCCACTGTTGTCGATGGCGTGTGTAGTGATTTTATGGAATCAAGACGGCAATAGTAACTAACAGTATTCCAATCAATTTCTTCTCCATATCACACAAGCCAGTGCGATTAGCGCCATCAGAATCGCCCCTGCACATAATGTCCCCAACGTGCTTGAAATTGCTTGTTTTTTGGTTACCAGACGTTGTATTATTGCTTCTGCCTTCACCGGGTGATAGTGACAATAGAAGCTAGCCCCAGTCTCTGTGTATTTGTCACGAAAGTTAAGATAGTCCTGATCTTCCTTATATTTACCAGTCGCTGTATAAATATAATCTGGGTCGTAGGTGTCGCACACCGGATAACTACACAGTAAAAATAAACAGAAATTAACCTAAAAAAATCGTGTTCATGGACGTAAAAAAGGTGCGCGTGCTAACAAGTCAGCGCTGGCCATGCCGTCACCAATTAATGGTTCTATAGGAATGTAGGTAAGAATGGCCCAGGAAAAAATGGCCCCAGTAAAAATGGTCCCAAATGACAAGTAGGTAAAAATGGCCCCATTGAAAAAATTCAGTAATAGAAATGATATTTTTTTTTTAATCTTCAAATGTTTAAATACTGTAAACTGAGATACTATATTATATACATAGTTATGTAAATATGGCAATTATGCTAAGAATTAAAATGGCGTGTAATTGTGAGGGTGAAGTAATTATGGTAGGATCAAATGGTATTGCTAAATCCCAAACACCTAAAACACACTGTAGAAAACCAAACAATTCAATTGTGATTGACTCACTTGGTATATCAATAAGAAAATTAAATATTTATAAGAACCTATTTTTTGGTTAAAATGTTGATTTTTTGGCGAAAAAATACTTGGAAATACACCACAATCATCCAAACACACTGCGAACCCCATCCTCTGTACCAATGCGTACGTGGGACCGCCTACCAATCAGTATACTATATATACACACACACACACACACACACACACACACACACACACCATGGGCGACAGACATAAGGCTACTGCAGTTTGTCATACCGTATGTAATTTGGTTTTAATGTAATTTTATTGTTTCGATTGTCTATGTATGTCTCTCCTTACTGGAGGTTATCTGAATAAATTGAATTGAAAACACTGACTTAATTGAGATAAAATAATAATAATAATAATAATAATAATAATAATAATAATAATAATAATAATACAGTATTTTATGGATTATACTGTACTGCACAAATATAACGCAATTTAGTTCTTATTACTACAATGTTATATTTGGCAATTCTTTTTACCTTTGTTGCTGCGAAGCAGCCAATAAAATCAATTACTTTAGGCGACGTTTGTAGACTAACCTACTCGTACCAACGTCCGCATGTCGCGCTAGCCTTATCTACTCTAGGTCTAGACTAGCTAGGATGGTATAGGCCTAGCCTTATTGTCTATTTAACATCACAATAATTCGTTATTAGACATATAGTTGTTTTTTGAATTGTACTCCACAAATCTCAGCCGATACCTCGCACAACTGACTAACGTCTCTATCTATTGTCGTGACGTCATGGCTCGCTGGCTCACACTTGTGATATGTCTCGCACTTGTGATCAAATAACACGCTGGCTCGCACTTTGGCAACACTATTTGGCAGTCAACTCGCCCCTAGAAAACCCGCCCTTGGAAACTTGCCCCATAAAAAAAATGTACACTTCCTAGACCATGCATTCTTCAAAATAAAAATTGTAACATTTGGTAATCAACTACATTTTCCACATACATAGACATTTTTGAAACTTTATTAGAAAAAACCTAAACCATAATTCACCACACTATAGACACTTTTTGACAAAAATGAAAAATTACGACTTTGTTACCCAATGAGAAGTGTTTTAATATAGACAATGGGTCGTGTCTCATATTATTTGTTATAGTTTTATTATTCATTATTTTCACTTGACTCGCATAAATAATTTTGTTCGAAGAACATTTATATGCAGTTGTACTTCGCAGCACTTCACTTGCAATTTGCAATTTCTTGTATTGTTTATATTTGAATGTTCGAATAAAATACTGTATACCATGAGAGTTGAAAAAACAAAATGCGCCTCACACTACGGGATTTACATGCTAATCGAGTTTCATCGACCGTCGTGGGTTACAGTATTCACTACATTCAATTGCTCATTCCCTCCCTTGTTCTTGGTCAAGAGTTCACCGGCATTATCTAGCAGCAAAAAGCAGTGGTTTCAAACGGCAATGAAGGTTGACACGCATTGACACAATTATGGCCTATCATATCACACCTTTTTCTTTCTTTTAAATTTGTCCTTGTTTTCTGTTAATTTTAGTTTTTTGTTGATAGAAAAGGCTAAGGCCAGATGCCAACATTGTCATTAGTCGAGCGCCTGTGATTCACTGAAATATACATACAAGACAGTACAGTTGAATTAAAATTTGTTTTCCTGACCTTGGAATACAAAAATATTGAAAACATACAGTGCATAAATCAATAATAATACTGTATATACAGTAAAGAAGATCTAAATGATATGTAACTGGAGTAGGAAATGGTAAACGAGTTGGATTGTTATAAAATGGATCATAAATTACGATTGTCGGTATTATTATTATAGAGATGTGACTGGTAAATAGGCCTACTTTATTAGATGACAGGCATATAGCAAAAATGAGTTTTTTAAATCTATTGTTTTTACATTGGGTTGAAAAGTCCTTCCTGATCTGTTAAAATGAATGCTCATTTAGTGGATGAATGTCGTCTGTAATAATTTGTTCCAGGCATGGAGGCGAGACAAACCAGTCTGTTTTGGATACCTATAGGCCTATATTTTAACATGTTAGCTAAGTTGACTTAACAAGAATATGTTATTTTTGTTTTCTCTACAGCACATAGAGACCACGTTATACAATGTGTCTCTAACCACTACCATCACCATATTATTACTCAACAACACTCTTGTTACATATTAACAGAATGACATAAACGAAAACCACTAATTTTTCATTTGTTTCTCAGTATGAAAAGCTTAAAAAAATTATAAAAATATATAATATTTCTGATAACTAGGCCTAATTCATCTGTAAATAGAAAGGTTCCATCTTTAAATTATGCACTTTATAAATGTCACTACCTACATACATACAAATAAATATCATATATTTTGATTGTATTAATTTACTATGCAATTTTAAATGTACTTTAATATTCATCCTGTTATTGGCATTTACGCTGTTGCATGAGATGAAATAAAAATAATTTTTTTGATAAAATATAGTATAACTATGCACTACAAATTCATATTTATAAAAACTGAAATTGTAGGATATGGGCCTCTGATTCAAACAAGGGGTCGCAAGCATGAGACCCACCCAAATATTTATTATGTAACCCCTCCCCCAATTTCGTGTCTGTACAAAATGCCTTTAAAAAGAAAACAGAAATATTCAAATATAAAGCTTTTTCCTTCTTGATATAAATCAAACTACTTATTACACTACTGGATTTTAACTATCGGCTTCCTCTCGACAGGGAGTTGTTATAGTTATTTCATGATGTAATATTCATTGTCATTTAAGTTACGAAATACAGAGTACTTAGTTTAAAAGGTCATGGTCACATTCTTTATATGGAACCTTCCACTTTTCTATAGGTGTCTTTTTGTTACTTTATGCGGCTAATATTGCAAAACATGTATTTCCCCCTTGAAATTGTTCAAAGTACAAGAAACTTTGCTAAAACAATGTATTGTAATTAGCAATTCCATTTTTAAACTACAATTTCAAACTGATATTACTGAAGATGAACAAGATTCGAAATATTGAAAAAAAATATTGGCACTGGGAAGTGGGTGGGGAAGGCAGCTCTCGCCAACCCACAGCAGCCTGACTGAGGTTACGATTAGAACCATTTCCTGTGCTATCAACTTTCCTTCCCTACGGTACGTGTTTACAGTGACATCCATATTCTGAAATTTCGATCTGATGAGCAAGCGAAGACAACAGTTTCGATATTGAGATAAAAATGGAACTCACTCATATATGAACTCTGACCTCACAATTAACTAAGCAAACTGGCTGGCTGGCAGTATCACATTTTAATATTTCTATACTGTAGTAAATTACTTATAAACTTACCTCGCTGTCACTAGCAAATGACTTGTCACTTTCATACAACAATGCTGTTCTGTTCCTCTGGTTATCAAAAAATGACACAAATATTTTGAGGCACTCAAAATCACCGTAGTCGCAATAAGTGGTCGAAGAATATGAGGAATCGTCCACCTGATAACAATTGCATTCTTTATCATACAGTATTTTGATGTAGTGCGACAATACGGTACACTCACCCTCCTCAAAGTCCTTAGTTTTGTTATACGGGTGTACATATACAATACACATAATAATAAGCATGACAAGAGTGACTACACCAGTAAGGACAATAGCTACTTTGTAGTGAACTGCCGCACAGCTCCCCATAGTCGATTACAGTATTTCGTCGTTCTGACAGAGGAAACCTAGGCCTACAGGTTTTGACACCTGGCCTATTAAAACTGTTACAATATAACTACTTATCTGGATTTGCAACTTAAAGGATTCTTTTATTGACGACAGCGGTAAAGAATAGCCAAAAGAGATTCCTTTGAATGGGTTCTACCATTCTACAATGGGAATCCAAAAATCTGAAAGAGCTCGGCTCAGCATGGGTCAATACTCCATGCATGGCAAAAATACGGTACTGTACCGCACCTGTCCTGCGTCACTGCCGATTACCATGCCAATTATAGGCCCCTATCTATAAATTAACGATGAATAGGCCCTACTTTCTATAGATTTCAGACCTTTAGGACGTGGTACTGTATATAGAAAGAACGGAACGGTGGCCCTCTTATCATGCAGATTTCTACCACAGAGTAGGCTATTTAAACGCGAACGTTTCCCCTAGGCGAGGCTTTCTTTCTACCTTGTTTAGCAAACCCGCCGCCCGCCAATAATAATTTCGAATGAAAATAAAATTTTATTTTTGTCCGGTTAGCCACCCGCCGCCAAGAAAAATGGAATTTTCAGAAAAAAATAAAAGTTTATCTTTATTTTTATTACGCCAGCCGCTGCCTTGAAAATCCATCAATAAGATATTACCGTATATTTCTTCCTAATCATATTATAAATTTAAAGCATTTAACCATCCCATTACTACACTGTTTAAGTTTTATCTTTATTTTCTCCTCCGACTGGATGTTTTGACAAAACCATTCGCTAAATAAGAAAACAACATTTTATTTTTATTTTCCGCCCTCCTCTGACGATCTAAAAAATTAAATTTCTAAAAACAAAGTTTCACGAAACAAGGTATAAAAAAAGTCAACATAGACCTACACTAAAATTGCTTAAGTAAGAATAAAATAAGAACAAATTGAGGCTGAGGTAAAATGTCAAATAAGGTTATTATTCAAAAACTAGAAAAAAAAACCCCCAACAAATCAAGCATAATTTTGTTAAAACGCAATAGGCCTATATACTCGTCATGGTTAGAATGCCCCGCAATATAAATCCACATTACTTTCACTTGAGTGTCTTTGTTCAAAAAAGACCTAGCCATTCCATTTCATTTCATTTATTTTGTCATCAGAAAAACAATCCGGAAACGAGAAAATACATAAAAAAAACAGACAGAAAAATAGTAAATTGTTAAAAACTCGACGGGATTAACCTAAAAGCGAAACAAATGACAGTCGAGTGGTTCTCCATAAAAACACTTAAAATCTTCGTAAACAGTATATATATTGAAATTAGGCCTATATCTACTTCACTATTTACAATGAACAGGGAC